TCTTCCGATTAGATCCTGCAGATCTCCCTTTCATACATGGGTACTCTGAGACTGAGGTGGGGATAGAGAACTGGTTCTAAGTCCTAGCCTCCAAGTCTGGTTTTCTAGGTGCTTCTACAGAGAGTCCACAATGAGATTCTCATCCTTTCTTCCCACAACCTTGTACTCATTGGTGAAACACAAAACTACTTGGCTTGAAAACTCAGACCAAGAGGGAGGATGGAGATGACCATGTGGCCTGCGAATTGGAACTCCATTAAGGCAGAAGGTCATTGTCCACCCTATTCCTCATCTACCCAGCAGCGTCAACTTCTCTGTTTAAAGTTTTTAGAGCCTAAGATTCTTATGACTTTACCTGGGCACACCTGACCATTCCATTCCTGTTTGATGAATTCTAACCCAAGCCACAACTGTTGGAGCTCAAAGTCCACTGAAGGGTTTGCACAGCCTGAGCTCCTTGTTCTCAGAAGTGAGAAGATGACAAAACCTGCCCAAATGCCTAACCCACCTCACAGGGCTACCATGACCATTAAATATAATGATGGGCATGAGGGCGCTAAGATGCAAAGAATTATACAGGAGTGTGATCTATTTTAAATCTATGAAGAATTACTTTGGCCTCATGGAAATAACCTGTCCCAGACTCGTAAGATCCCAGGGTTACTGTCCCTTTGAATAACTCCAAGATATCCTGAGCTAGTTACCTCAACTCTGGTCTCCAAGATTTTTTTTAACATGGGGTTCCTGCGATGAGTCTGAGACACCCTTAAGAAGAGCCCAAGACATCCCTGAAGCCAGGACCTTGGGGAAGTTATACCTCTCAAAACCCAGCTGCTGGCAGGTCTTCACTGAGTAGGAGTTGTTCCAGCTGTCACTGCAGACAGGATTCCACTGATGGGATGATCCAGAATAGACTTTAAGCAAAGACTTGTCCCAGTCAAACCTCACTGCAGGGAAAGAAAAGGGCAAAGCAGGTCCTCAGCAGCCAGGAAGCTGCAGTTCTTGGGAATGAACCGAGTAAGGCTTTGAGAGGCTACTGTCCTGAGGCTCCTCGCTGGGATGTGATGATCATAGTCAGTGCTCAGAAGCCCAAGACACTCAGTAAGGACAGAGCCAAGGCAAGGGGCTGGGGCAGCGAGGAAAGCTCTTTATCCGACAAACTCCAGGGAGCCATACTGGAAGAAGGGGCAGGCACTGCCAAGAGCCATCACCCATAGAGGGCAGTGACATGCACAAATGAGAGAATGACAAGGAGAATAAGGACTATGATCTGACAGAGTGATCTGGACAGGCTCAGGCACAGATGACCACAGTCATGGGTAAGGACACATGTAAACGTGCAGGTAGAAAGAATGGGACATGTACCCACAGATACCGACATCAAGGCTATACATAGATAACACATGTGAAAGCCACTGAGGACCAGAGCTCAATGACATCTTTGTGCTCATTGAGGCCAGCCATTTACAAGCCGACCTTCATGAAACATGGAAGTGGAAGTCAGAGGTCATCTGCTGGACAAAGAGGAGGGGGTACGTAGAAGGGACTCTGGACCCCACACCTGCCTCCAGCCAGAGAAGCTTTGCTTTGCTCAGTCTGATAGTTGGGAGTTGTTTGATTTTATTCAAGAACCACTAAGTTTGTCCAATCCATTCATTTTATAAATTAGGAAACTGGAGCCCAAAGAAGGTAAGTGATTTGCCCAAGTCTCAAAACACTCAAAACCAAGTTTCAAACACAATCTTTCTGTGACTAAAACCCAAATCCTCCAGTTCTCTGTCCTTTGCCTCCCATTTGAGTTTGTAGTCACTGTAGTGCGCCTGCACACACGCGCGTGCGCACACACACACCTATGCCCAGCCTGCTTACCACAGCCCAGCTCGTCACTCTTCAGCTTGCAGTCTGCCACCCCATCGCAGCGCACGGAATGCATGGGGCAGCTCTCTACAGGCTCCTTGTACTTGATCCTTGTGTGGCCCCGCCAGAAGTGGACTGGAAAAAATAAAGCAGGCAGCTGGGTCACTGTCAGCCCCAGAGAAACAGGACACTGAGCAGCCCAAGGCCCTGGGAGTTCTGAGACACCGACCTGCAATCCCTCTTGGACTCTGGGGCTCTCGTCCCCCATCTGTATGGAGAGAAAGGCTGCTCAGGAATGCTCTGGAATGCGCCTGCAAGCAGGGCAGCACCAAGCAGACTTGAGCAGCCACCCAAAGAAAGAAGAGAGAGAGAGGGAAGGAGGTGTGGAGGTGGATGCTACTTTGGGAGTTCCCCCACCCTACATGCTGGCTAGAGTGGTAGCCAGAGAAACCACCTCCTCTAGTACCCCAGAGCCCCCTTCTCGAAGCCTTTCTGGGCTCCCTTTATCTTTGTGCTCCATGGGGGTCACAGCAGAGAAATTTTCAAATCCACAGTCACACACATACAACCACTACCTGTCCTGTTTTCTCAAAGGTGGTCCTTCCAGCCTCAGAAGCTCCTGGATTTTCTTCTTCCTCCTCTCCCCCAAACAAGGACTGTCTCCTATGCTCAGTTTTTGCCCCATTACTTGTCTTTATGCCTTTAAATGTCTTCCCACTGAACAAGCAACACTAGATGGCTGATTCCCAAATGTACAAGCTTTATAAACCATCTGTGAAAATCAGCCTCATAACTCCCTCTGTCTTTAACACCTATCTCTTTCCAAACTAGGATCTGTCATCCCTCCCACCTGGAGACACTTCCCCTTTGATGGCAAAGAAACCTGACTTCTGACTCCTCACCCTGCCTCTTTTGTCTACACCCGCCTCCTGGCCCTGACCCCTCACTTCTCCTCCTGCTCCCACCATGCTCTCAGTCACCCAAGGTGAAGGGTCACCCTTGTGTGACTGGCTTCTTCCAGGCCCAGACACCAATCCCTCCTAATCTCTTGGATGTGCCCCTCTTCTCTGTGCCCTGGTCTTCCCTCTCTCAAGACCTGCACACTGAGCCTGCCAGGATCACCTTGATGTGCAGTGAGGAGAGCTCTAGATGGGGGTTCGGGGCTAGGGCTCTAGTTTTGACCCCCGGCATAGCTGCTCAGTGACCACTTCCCTGGTGTCAGTAAGTCTAGAGGTTAGAGGACTTCAGGAAATGTTAACCATGCTGAAGGCTATAACTAGTCAGGAAGCCTGCCCTCACATGCCATCTCACCCCTCCACCGGTTATTTCCTACTGCTTGCTCTCTGTGGATTGCAGGGCGTTCCCCTGGAGCTGTGCCCTGTGTGAAGAAGGGAGGGAGAGCAGGGCAGCGAGTGCTGGAGGTGGTTCTCATGGATACCATGTGGCAGGCACCATACCGAGGCATTGTGATGGCGATGCCTCCACCTTGTCAGACAAGTGAAGAAACTGAGGCTCGGGAAGTCAATTAACTTGCTGAGGTCACACAGCTGCTATGTGGCAGAGCCGAGTCTGTCTGGTACTAAAGCTGTATTCTTCCCCCCCTCCCTCTTTAATTGCCTCCCCATTTCCACCCCTGACCTATAGATGTTGCCAGTTTCCCCTTAAGAACTGATCTCTGAAGGTGGGGCATCTCCTCCCACATGCTCGTTGTGTGCACCTGGGGCCTGGCGTACCTGGTGCACTCAGGAGGCCCCGGCTCACTTGGGGGCCTGGTGCACCCGGGGGGCCCGGCGCGCCTGGGGTATGGTCCATGGCTCCACCTGGGGCATGAACCTGGGACCTTCTGTGTGTAAAGCAGAAGGTCCATGCTAACCACTACACTATGGAGCCACGCCCTAAAACTGTATTCTTAACCAACACACAACCTCCTCCAGCACAACAGTCTTCCTCAAACAGTCCTGCAGACAGGTGTTTCTGTATCGTTGCCCACCCCACTCTTCACCACACTGCTGCCTCTTTAATCGAATCCTTACCCCTCAGTCCAGCATTTACAGCTCTCTAAAACAGGGCCATGCCATACTCAAGCAAACAGACAGCCCCCAGGTCACCAAATGTATATTTTCCTCTCTGGTTAGTGGGTCCCTTTCCACGCCCCATGCTGACCTTGCCCATCTGCCTCACTTTTTTCCTGCAGCTGCCATTCCCACTAGATGCCCTGTCCCCAATGCTCTTCCATCTTTCAGGTCCTCATTTGGCCCCACTGCCTTCATGAGCTGGCCCCTGCCTCTACAGACCACACAGCTGTCACCTCTTTCTGACAGTCACACTCAAATGTGTTCGGCCTTCATTCTCTCCAGCTATGTCCTCCAGGAGACTTTAATCTCCTTGAGGACAGGGTGGTCGGATATGTGCTCCCCTTTTGCTCCCTCCAGCACAGTCTCCACTGTGCTAGATTCATAGTGGGCATTCTGGCAGCGAACCTGGGGACATGTCCTAAGTATCTTTTCCAAAGAGAAGGAAGAAATTGTGGGTGCCTAAATTGCTGAACACTTTATACTGTTGATGGAAAATACCTGAAAGACTTTTCCTAATCAGGGTTTTTATGTTTGTTTTTAATAACTAGTGTTTTTAGAGTGGAATTTTGTGCCAGGCATTGTGCCATTATCTCTTTTATTCCTCATAACACAGTGAAGTCTTTATGAGACTTCACTGGGCACGTAAAAAGTTGAATGGATGGATGGATGGATGGATGGATTTAAAACCCATTTGAAGATGCAGAAAAATGAGCTCTGAGTTGTGAACTAACCTGCCCAGGTAAGCTGCACAATAAGTGGCACTGATGAGACCCAAGCCCAGGTTCATCTGACTTCTCATACTCAATCTGGTAGTTTAGAGGGGGCTGGGGACACCATGGTCCAAGGTCATTTGCAGGAGTGGCCCTCTGTGGACACAGTAGCCCACCAAGTGCATGCTCCCTACTCCTGCCTCCCTGCTGTGTGTCCCTATCCCCAGACATCACTCCACACAACAATGAGAGCTGCCCCTCTCCCTTTGTTAAACTCACAGAGAATGATGAGCGATGCCACGAGGGCAATGAGGAGGAGAATACATCCAATGAGAGGCAGCCGCTTCTGTCCCTGCTGCCAGGTGAACTTGGGCAAGCTGACATCTAGAAGCGGGGCAACAGCAGGGGAAAGTGAGGTGGTAGGAGAGGAGTCCAGACCAGTGAAACCTAACCAGAAACCCATGCCCTTGAAATCTGCACTCTGACCCAGACTATGCAACCTCCAAAGTGACACTTGTTTGTTGGTGTGTTTTTTTTTAGCCCCTCCTCCACTTGCCCCAGGGTTCCACTGTCTTGGGTTTGCATGCAATGTTTCCTTCCTGCCCTCACCAACCCAGATCCCCCACTGCCACCCGTGACCATTCCCCCTCCTTCCCATACATCATTAACTAGAGGGTAGAAGAGGAGCAGTGAGTGCCAACTCAATGATTTCCTTTCTACCCATGGACTCCTTCCCTGTCCTTCTTGCCTTCCCTACAGTACCCCCCTTACTTGAGCTCTCATTGGTGGCTCTGGTGGCTGGTGCTGACGTGGCAGGAGATGCCCGGACAGGTACGGCCCCCACTGGTGTTGCTCTAACAAGGTACACTCTTGTTGGAGAGGATGTTGTGGAGGCCGACCTGGTAGACGATGATCTTGTAGATGATGACCTTGCAGACGATGACCTGGGAGGTGATGCCCGGGCTGGGGCTGTCCGGGCTGGAGACATCCTTGCTGGTGAAGCATTCTGAAAGTAGAGCAAAGGCATCCCTCAGGTTGTTCCCCTGCCAACCCATCCAACTGCCAGCCCTGCTGAGCTAGGAGACAAACTCTCTGGGGCAAGAGGCTAGGGGGCGAGCAGAGCCACTGGACAGGGAAGCATTTGAGAAAACAAAGATGTCTATGGATGAAATGGAGTTCAAAAGCCTGCTGTCCCTCTGCATTCTCTACATTCTCTCTGCATTTTCTCTCCATCACAGTGACCTGCAGAGGTGAGCAGAGGGCAAGGGGCCATCTGCTTGGAGCTTGGGAGCACCTGCTTTGGCTACACATGTCTAGGGACCCTCAAGGAAGAGGCTGCTGCACTTGCTCCTCATTTTGACAGTCACTCAAGGAGATGAGGTCCCCTGTTGGGGAAGTAACCAGCCTCTTCACTTCCCTATTTACTTGCATTCTCCTACATCTTGCCCTTTTCTTTGTGTATGTATGTTAGATTATAAAGTTTTGGTCTTATTATGAGCTGTCATCAAAAAGTATGAAAAGCACTACTTAAGAAAAGCCCTGACCTGCCTTGTACCCTACCATTCTTGGTAATCCCAGAATTCACCCCCCACCCCAAACACAACCACACTCACATGGAAGCACATAACAGTACAGCAAGGAAACTGGAAAGGCAGGATGTAAGAGGAGAAAAAGGTATAGGCTGGGATATGGTTCCACTACACCTTGGATGAGATCCTTAACCTTACTCAGCTGTAGGATTTATTAATTTACATTTAGTACTTTAATGTATAATTATAAAGGACTAGACATGTTCTAAGTGCTTTACATGTATTTACTCATTGAATCCTCAGAACAACCCTATGAGGTAGGAACTCTCATTATCCCCTTTTTGCATAGGGGGAGATAGAAACAGAGAGACTAAGCAACTTGATCAAGCAAATAGAGCCAAATTGTGAGCCCAGAAAGTCAGGCTCTGGAGGCCATGCTCTAACCTCTAGGCTTTGCTGCCTCTCAGGAGAGGGATGCATGAGATAATGCAGCAGCTGGCCATAGGAGGCGATTGGTGAATGCCAGTCCTGTTGCCTCCTGGAGATCCTGAGCCTAAATCTGGAGGAGGGAGCTGATGGGCAGTCAGGGCTGTTGGGAAGGGCTTGAGTACCCTCTGCTCTGGTCTGCAAGACCCCCAGTCCCTGTCACCAGTTTAGGCATCTTTTCATCTCCCCCTAACCCCTTATAGAGATCTCTTCACCCTCCTTCACACCATCTCTGCTTCTTAGCTCCCTCTAGAAGTCTCCAGAGCAGCGGCAGGAGTTGGGAACTGACCTGGCCCAGAGGCCACATCTGACCCTCATTATAACTTCTGCTGAACATTGACTGGCTGCTCAGGAAGGCGAGTCTCCCGGGAGCAGAAGAAGTGGTGGGAGAAACACACCTGTGCTTGGGGACTTTGTGTTGAGGGCACAGTTGGCAGCGCTGCACAGAGGAGATGGGATCTAGACATCTGACCTCTCTTTCTCTCCCTCATCCTCCACTGTGCTTAAAAGTATTTGACACTATTACTAAGCAGACAAGTTAATAAAAAGTCCTCCTCATTAGAATATCCAATCCAAGTCTACACCATCATCCCTACCAGGTAGGCATTTTTGTTTTTTGTTTATTCATTTTTTTAAAAATTCCCTCTTCTAAGAGTCAGACATCATTAATTTGGTCACTTCCTCAGTTTTGGGGTGGCTATAGGATGAATTCAAGGTGGAATCTAGAGCCTTGGACCACATTTGGCAGGGACAAGGAGCCACTCTCCCAGAGGGTCTGGGGTCAAAAAGTGGATGTGAGTAAATACAGATAAGAGCTGATGCTCTAGCCAGCTGAGCAGGGACACACTTATGTGTGTTTAAGGACCTGAAGGGCAGCTGCTTGCCACTTCTGAACCAAATGAACCAGAGCTCAGATTTCCCTCTCATCTTCATTGTCTAGAGAATAGATTTCCATAAAATGAAAACCGTTTAGCCCCCAGGAGCCTCAAGGGGAACAGGACTGGGTGGGGCAGGGAGAGGTGGTAAGCATATGATGAATTATAGACTGCACCTGTTGATAGCATTAGTTTTGGAGTCAGGCAGACCTAGGTCCCAATCCTAGGTTTAGCAGTGTGACCTTGGGCAAGCCACTTAACTTTCCTTTTTCTTTCTCTTAATCTGTAGAATAAGATTAATAATCCTGAGGATTCAATGAGATAAATAGGAAGGCTCTTGCCTGTGCCTGTGCCTGGCACACAACAGCTGGGCCGGAAATGGTCATCCCTGTCCTCCTTTGCATTGGCTGTCCTGAGATTTAACAGCCACGGGGCATGACCAAAGGGCTGACGGGTGATGGGAGCTCATCTTAGGGAGAAAAGAGAGTGCTGAACAAAGGCCAGGCTAAGGTCTTTCAATGAGAGCGATGAGCCCCAGCTGTGTAGGGCCCTACACTTTCTACCAGTGGTGTCCTAAGCCTTGACACTGCCTGGGACCCTGGCATTATGGCATTTGACTGGCCTGCCAGGTCTCCGCCCTTTTTACATTTTCATTATAAGTCTTCCCCAATCTTGAGGGGAGTCCTCATCATCTAATACCTCAAGTGACAATAGCTCACATATGTGTAGCACTTCAGAGTTTATAATAAACTGCTCTGTCTCTGGCCTCATGAGATCCTCATACCATCTTCGAGAGGTTGGTATTTTTAGAAGCCCATTTTACAGATGAGTAAACTCAACTCAGAACTTAGATTGCTCAGAATCACAGTCAGGTATTTGGCCCAAGCCTGGGCACATCTGTGCCCCTGCCTTCTCCAGTCAACAGCAAGGGCTCCCTGGCACAATTTTCTCCCTGACATCTGTGTGCAGGTGCTTGTCCTGCATTTGTGCCATGGCCCAAGAACTGAGAAAGGCGCTTGCATGGCTCCAAGCACCATGAAGAGCCTGGGGGCGGGGATAGGGGTTCCTAAAGGGATCTCGGTCTTGTGGAACTTTCCAGTGGGAGCCAGAATAGGGCCCTATGACCCCTGTGATCTGCCAAGACTGGGCAGAGCATGATGGATGGGAACAGCAGTGTCATAGTCATCAAGTACTCTCTAGGCCAGCTGGTGACTCTGGGCAAGTGACTTAACTTCTTTATACCTCAGCTTCCTTATCTGTATGGTGAGCCAATCACCCTGCTTCATAGTAATGTAGTGATAGATGATACATGTAAAGTAAGGACTTGGTGACTATTAGCTGTGGTGGTGTCTGTCTGTCTGTCTGTCTGTCTGTTAAAGATGCTGGGCTAGAAATGGAGAAATCTGTGTTCAGATATAACTTCTTCCATTCCTAACTGGGTTACCTTGTGTAAGTACATATTTCAAAGTCTCCACACGTGTAAAATGGAACTAATCCTGCCTCTTTTCCCCAAATAACATGGAATAAACATGAAAGAGTTTGGTCTATAAATGTGTATCACTATGGTAAAGATAACAGCCCACTAGGCACTTTACTTGATCCCATTTCAACCTCAGAATAACTCTTTATGGTTGGTAATTTTAGCCTCATTATATAGATTTTGAAACTGAAATCCAGGGTGGTTAAGAACATGCTCAAATTCACATTTTAGGTAAGTAACAAGGTTTGGATTCTAACCCGGCCTGCTAGGATCACGTAGAGTCTGGACCAATAGTACCAACACCAACAGTGACCCTTCATTTCTTCAGGGCTTGCAATTTGCCAAGAGCTTTCATATCCACTATTTCATTCAATTCTCACGAGGCTCCTAGTTAGCAATCTGGACAGGAATTATTACCTCCAGTTTATACATGAGGCGAGGGAACTGGGGTTCAGAGGGGACTAAAGAGCATGCCTAGAACCCCTCAACTGACTGGTTGTCTTATGATAGCTAGTCAAGAGTTCAGGCTGTCTCCACCTGAGCAGCACCCTGTGACCCTGATCCTGTTACCCCATCATGATGGGCAGGAACAAAGGGGCCAGCTTGAAGGAGAGAGGGCTTGAGAGGCAGAAAGAGGCCCAGAAGAAGATGGTGGATGGGAAGACTTGGAGATGCTGGGGTGGTGGGAGGGAGTTAGACCAGTAAGGGAACTGGTAGTGGGTGGGCACAGTGGGAAGGCAGCCAGAAAAAAAACAGAGAGAAGACCTCCTGTGCCTTGTTTGTCCCTCTCTCCAATGCTTGCTCTACCTGCAGGCAGGTCCTAATGGGCCCACCCATGGCCTCAGCAGGCAGGAAGTAGAGATGAGGTGAACCCTGGGATACAGGAAGGACACCTATCTGGGTCCCTCTTCTCTGAGACTGGAGGCAGGTGGAACATATAAAATGGGCGGCTAATCTTGAGCTCAGAAACCAGGGGGCCAGAAGGAGGGATATGTAGTCCCTAGCCAGGCTCTTTAAAATTGTTGGCTCTGAGTCTCAGTAGCCATCTCCAGGTGGAGAGTATCTGGCCCCACAGACTAGAGCAAGAAGATAATCTTGGATCCCAAGTCACAAATGAGCACTGCCCATATTGGGAAAATGCAAACTCCAACAGGGATAGCAGGATGGACGGGCTGCCCCAACACCAGAAGAAAGCAGCCTCCACAGTGCAGCTATCTGCTCCATCCCTGCCCTTACTCTGAACTTCAACCCAAACCATGACAGGAGCTAGAAAGAGCTCTCATCTCCTGGGACCACAGAATAGGATATTCCACAGCCATCCTTCTTTACCCATTTCACAGCCTGCCACCTCACCCTGCCAGAAATTCTTCCTAATGTCTAACCCAGTACAGTAGTAACTCATTTCCTTTCCTCAATTCTTTGAGAGAAATACTGAGATTCCAGCCTCCTTTCCAGAGTCCTGACCTCACCCTCAGAACAGATACTTTGAGTGCATGGGGAAGAAGGAGGGGAGGAGACTTCTTGCTCAAAATCCAGAGATACAAGGGGCAGAGCCCAGACCAGAACAGGTCCAACTCCTAGCCTTTGCCAATGATCAGAAGACCTAGGAATGGAACTCAGATGACTAATTCCTGGGCCAAGGCCTCAGGCTCTCCAC